ATGCAAGATTCAATCAAGCACAAGAGGAAAGAATGCAGTCAAGAGAATGGGTAAACAGATGTATGACTGCTGTTAGCATAACAGAGCAGACAGTAAACTTTTAAAATAGGTAACAGGAGTATCCAGTAAAGAGTGTGGTATGGTAAACACACACACCTGTCACGTGGCCATGTATTATCCTTACCGCACACTATGTGCTGTACACAGCCGGCGTGCTGTTCTCATAGGACTGGCTGTGCACTAGGTTGTTCCAACCATGTGATTATGTGTTGGTGCTGCTGTGTTAGGATGACTCAGGTGCCCGGATCTAAGCAACAGGAATTTTTCAGCGCCGTTATATCTTATAGGACCACTGTCACGTATGTGGTCCAGACGTCACACTCAGCACATAACCGTATCCCGAGAAATTCTCATGTGCTGTTGAAGGTACTTTGGATACATCATTGGACAGAACAGACCCCATTCCCTACCTACAGAACTGGACTTGAAACCAGGTCTGCCTCTTCTCCTTTTAATATTTATTTTCCTTCTGCTCGCTTTTTTTTTTTTTTAAGAGATTTTTACTATAGGGCACATATGCACACCAGAGAGACAGAAAGTGAGAAATCACCCCTCCCCCCCAGGAGGGATGGTCACACTGCAATCCCTTCTCCATTCTCCTCTCAGAATTTTGGGCACGCATGCACATGTGCCTAGCATGAGTTTTAAGCCTCTTTGTCTTAGACTCTAACCATGGTCAACTACCTGGGAGTCCAGCAACGTAACTATTACACCATCTCCTGGTTCCAAAAAGCAAAATGGGACTACTATCTTGAGAAGTAATTTCTCAAAGGCCCACTCTCTTTCATTTTTTTTAAAGACTTATTTTATTTAACTTACTTTCTTTTTTTAAAATTTATATTTGACCAGAGAGGGACAGAATGAGAGAAAGAGAGAGAAAGAAAATGAGAAAGCAAGCATCTATGTTTGGGACTTGAACTGTGGTTGGCCATGTGGGAGTCCAGTGCCCTTAACCACCATGCTACCTTCCCCCTACTCTCCTCACTCTCTTAACAAGTTCGATCAATGATCATTTAAGTTTCAGGTTGGCCATTTTAATTACCAAGATGATGTTCCACTTCCTTAGCTTTCTCTGTGCATGTAAAATTGAAAAAATCATCTTATTTGGCTCGATTTTTGGCCCTTGACAATGTGAGAGTCCAGGGAAAGGTGACTCATGGATTTCGGGTTGGATACCTGGGGCTGATGTGTGAGCTAGAGCCAGGGTGTCCCTCTTCTGCCCGTGGGACTCTACAGTGGAAGGCAGCTGGGAACTGGGTGGGTAGTGGACCAGTGGTGTTGGTCTCACCCCTAGGTGACTTGAGGCACTTCTGCTTCTCCCTTTCCTGGAAAGAAGCCCTGTGGTCCCCAGGTTGGGTAACCAGAGGTGCTGCCTCCCTAGAAGGGCCCTCTTTTGCAAGTCCAGAACCTGGCTCTTGTTCTGATTCCAGAAGCCTTGCGGAGCAGTGCCCATTGTCTGAGATTACCTGAACGAGGGGTTTGGGAAGACAGAATGAAGGGTGAGAGCCGGGCCCAGAGCACAGGTGTGCCGCTCTGCCTCACATGGCTGGTGGAGCAGGCACTGCTGGAGCAGCACAGCCGCCTTCCTCGTTTTGGTGGAGACGCCACCTGGATTAGTACATGCACCTGCTGCTATGCCCAGTTGAGGTGGGGATGGCTCTCCTATTGAGCAGTCGTTTGTTCAAATCAGTGGAAAAAAGGGCTGCTGACACACGGAGGCCTACACATACACATACACACCCCCTATGCACACCTACAAGCTCTCAAATGAGTGCATGGAACTTAGCACTCAAAACTGGTGGGCAGGGCCAGCAGGTGGTGTAGTGGTGAGAGCACTGGACAACCAGTTTGAGTCCCAGATGGACCCATGGACAACCAGTTTGAGTCCCAGACGGACACATGGACAACCAGTTTGAGTCCCAGAGCCGGTGCCTTGAAAAATCACACTGGGCGTGTGTGCATGTGTGCTCAGGTCCCAGGAGGAGAACGGAGGAGAAGGGACTTGGGTCCCCCCAGGGGATGATTTCTCACATTCTCTCTCACTGTCTCTCTGTTTCTCTCCAGTGAGTGCCCATGCCCTACGGCAAAAAATTACACACACACACACACACACACACACACACTGCCGGGGAGTGTTTAGTTTTGCTTTGTTTGTTTTTGACTTGGACAGTTGAGGAGGACGTTTTCGGGTGAGAGTGCTCTTGTGTTCGTTGTCCCATTGAGAAAATCATTCCTTTGCTCTGACAGTCCTGCAGCCAAGAGGAGCAGGTCTGAGGAGTTCCCCAAGGGGTCCCCCTCCTGATTCCGTGGGTGACTCAGGCTTGGCCTTCTAGGGTTCTGCACACACCAGAGTTTTATTCAGATATGTTGGGGTTTGCCGGGTTTTCTTCACAGAATCCCAACAGTGAAATGATGCCTGGCTTTTCCATTGAACCGATTAAATTTGAGATTATTGTGAGGTCATAAATGACTCCAGTCACACAAGAGTAATTGAAGGGGCTCTGTGTTTTTGTGCTTGGCTTCTTTACAAGGGACCCAGGCTCCTGAGAACGCAGCTGACTCAATAGCCCTCCTCACCCTGAGACGGCCATTAAAGGATGCCCGTTGGGTGGTAGCCTCCCCATACGTTTTCTCAATAAAGAGAAAAAGATGAGAAGGGGTGGGGGAGACTCGGCTTGCATTTAGAGCCGCAGCCTCTCAAAGCCGCCTGGAGCAGACTGTTTAGTTCCGTGTCCCCTGGCCCATTCAGGCCTCGGCGTGTTTTGAAGCTTTCTTTAGCTTTTCGCGGAGTGTTGACGGCAGATCTCTCAATAGGCCAAAGCCGGGCTCTGCTCAGCTGAATGCCCGTCGGCACAATGCACTGCATGTTAATGGTGCGGGCGGGCCCTGCAAGCCTGCCCCTGGGACAGGGGCTCCTGTGCAGCCGGCGAGCAGCAGTCTCAGACCCCGAGATGGGATCCAACTGGGTTCCTAAAGTTGCCCGTTTGCTTTTTTGCAGATCTACACGGACTGGGCCAATCATTATCTAGCCAAATCTGGCCACAAACGTCTCATCAAGGATCTCCAGCAAGACGTGACCGATGGCGTCCTCCTGGCTCAGATTATCCAGGTTGTGGGTAAGAGTGGATTCTACCTTGGGGGTGAGGAGTTCTGGTAGGAGCCTGCCCAGAGGGGGTCGATTGGATGGGGAGGACGAACCCTGGAATCCCTAAGACAGGCAGCTTTCTGCAGCATGTGGACAACCTCCTTGATTTTGTTTTTCGACTCAGGTGTGTGGGTACCGGCTAGAGGTTCCTGTTACGGTCACATACAGTCATGTCACAGCGATCTTAGCTTTAGCCTCTGAAAGGAAGGACTGGCCACACCTGGAGGACTTGCTCGGACCCTCTTCTTGCCTCTTCCTGTCTTTTTGGCTTTTTGTTTTACGCCCCCAGATGAGAGTTTTTGTGGAACATTCTGGAAATGTTTCTTAGGAAGAAGAAGTAACATAGGCTCGTTTAATCCCGCCAACTCTGATTGGGTCTGAGAAATCAAAAGATAAGATCGCAGAGAAGGTTGGTTGGTTCTGGATTTAATGTGGGGGAGTGGCACTAGAGCTGAGGAATCCGTCATGCCCTGGCCGTGTGCTGGCAGGAGAGGCTTGCTCCAGGGGGGCTCACAGTGGGTGCTGACCCCCTTTTACCTCGAGGCCTTCAGGAAGCACCCTCGTGGTCCTGCCTGAGAGCTGGGAGCAGACTGAGGAGGTGGGAGGTCAATTAGATGGTGTTAGGCTGATTGTTGTCCCTGGCAGCCATGGGATCTGACTCATGCCAAGGGAGAAGGTGCAGGGAAAGGGGAAAGGCAGAAGTCCTGCCCCCCCCCCCAGCCTGCGTTGTCATGGAAAAGTCACTTGTCCTTCAAGTGCGAGAAGTAACCTCTCACAGTTCCAGCTCTGTTCGGTTCCTTGAGATGAACCTGCAAACGCAGACAGGAGGTGTTGGCTGAAATTTTTGGACTGAGACTAACACACTTTCCCTGCCTGCTTGAGACTGATTTTTTAAGATGGATAGCCATTGGTTTCCCTTTTCTGTCTCCTTCCCTTTCCCTCCCTATCTTAACTTTTCTTTCTTTTTTAAAAAGTATTATTTAATTTTATTTATCATTACTATTATCATTATTTACCTTGCTATAGGGCATGTGTGCTCACCAGAGAGAGAGAGAGAAAGTGAGAAAGCAAGCCACTAGGTCTGGAACCTGAACTGCAGTCAGCCATATGGGAGTCCAACGCCTTGACCACCACACTGCCTGCTGGCCCCCCATGTTAGTTTTCTATTGCTTTATGATGAATTGTCACAAACTTAGCTGCTTAAACAGCATACAAGAGGATGCCCAAAAGTGTTGGAATTAAAGTATAAGTGTACTTTAGTACAAAAATATTTGAAATCCATGCATAGTTTTTTTTTTTTAATAATATGCATTTCCCATGATTTTTGAAGACCCTTCCTCTGTTTATCATCTCACATGTTCTCCGCATCAGGAATCCAGGCAGGGCGTAGCTGGGTGCCCCTGCCAGGCTGTAGTCGGAGTGTTAGCCAGGGTTGTATTCTCATCTGGAAACTTGACTGGGGAGAGATTTGCCTTCATGCTCAACCCAGATTGTTGGCTGAACTCATTTCTTCACAGTTACAGGGCTGTGGGTGCTGGCTTCTGACTGACTGTCAGCTGGAGGCCATCCTCACTCCTAGAAGCTATTCTCAGCCTCTTGCTAGATGGACCTCCCAACATGGATACAACTTTTCAGTGCCAGCAAGGGAGAGTGTTTCTAGATCAAGTCTGCTAGTAAGATCGACTCCTCCTTAACGTAACATAATTGTGGGAGTCACACCTCGTATCCTGTTCATTAGAAGCGAATCACAGATCCTGCCCACGCTCAAGAAGAGGGGATTATGCAAGGGCCTAAGTATCAGAGCAGGCCGACTTGGGGGTCACTTTGAAGTCTGTTTGCCATCCTCCCCTAGTTCCACTTCCTCTTCCTCCTCCCGTTCTTCATCGTCACTTGTATCAAGCTCTTTAAAATCCTTCTCTTTTAATTTCCTCAATGTCTCCTGAATAAGTGGCATTACCCCCATTTCACAGAGGCAGAATTTGAGGCCCAGTGAGTGTCAGGAGCCCAGTATCACAGACCAGTCTGTGTGGCATTCCCACCTGGGTCAATCTGCAGCAAGCTTTGCTCTGCTCTGCTGCTGTCAAGCCAGGGACATGGAAGCTCACGCAGCACTCTGCCTCCCTTCACTTCGGTTCAGTGACCGCCTGCCGTGCACTGACAGTGTGCTAGCCCGGTACTTCCTGCTGGGAATAAAGAGCAGGTATGCAAGGAACCTCACAGGCAATTTCTTGGCAGAGTCTTCATGGAAGATGTGCCCTGTACCAAGTTGGGTATTGAAGCCCATATCAGCAGGGTCACTTCGGGCACGTGGTCTGCTTTGACTGAGTCTGAGGTGTGCGGAGTGTTTCTACAGGGACCCTTCCCAGGTTTCAGTACAGGCAGTCGGGAGAATGTGGAGAAAGGCTGAGGGGCCTCACTCATCCCAGCTGAATCGCTCCCAAACATGGCACCTATGGAGAGTCACCTCTGCTGCCTCAGTTCTCCATCTTTAAGATGAGGACTGTCATACTTGTTTTGTCTGATCTTATGGCAGCCTTAAACATTTCAAATGAGAGGGACCAGCAGTTAGCGAAATGGCTATGTTGCTGGACTCCCATGTAGTCGACCACAGTTTGAGTCTTAGATCCGGTGGCTTAAACTCACACCGGGCCCATGTGCATGCGTACCCAAGATCCTGAAAGGAGAATGGAGGAGAAGGGATTGCGGCGTGACCATCCCCCCTGGGGGTGATTTCTCACTTTCTGTCTGTCTCTCTCTGTTTTTCTGGTGCGTGCACCCTATAGCAAAAACCTCTCCAAAAAAAAATTTTTTTTTCAAATAAGGTACCACATGTGAAATATGTTTGGAAACTATGCTGCACTCCTACCTAGCATTTGGTAGCAGCTGCCCACAAAAGAATGCGCAGAAGGATGGCGAGGTCTCTGCTTGTCAGAGTGTGTCACGATAGATTAGTCATGTCTGCTGTGGGCTCAGGGGAGCCAAAGCGCATGTATGTTGTGCATTTACTGATGGACTAAGACAGGAGCTTCTGAAAACTTCCAATGCTCGATGATTAGAACTATCCGCCTGAAGACGTAATGAGCTGCCCATCACGGAATGTAACTGATACAGCCTCTGACTACTTAATGGACAGATTTTGGGGGGTGCTTTACGAGAGCAAGCCACCTAGATGCCTTGCACGCAGAGTTTATAATAGGGTCCGCGCTCCTATGAGAATCTAATGCTGCTACCGATCTGACAGGAGGCGGAGCTTAGGTGGTCATGTGAGTAACTGAGTAACAGGCGGCAGCTGTAAACACAGAGGCAGCTCACCTTCTGCTGTGTGTCCTGGTTCCTCACAGGCTACTAGGGAGTTGGGGACCCCTGTCTTAAAGTATCTTGTGAACACAAGGCTCTTGGTGAGGATCCTAATTAGGAGGCTGAACTGACCAGTATAAACTGACCATTAATACTCTTTACCTTTGAAACCCAAGCTTTCCCCCGTACATGTGCCCATTAAAAGAAAATGTGAAGAGATACGTTTATATGTGCATGTGTATTTAATATGTGCGTATATGTGTGAGATCTCTATATAACTATACGTTACTACATAGCTTCATAAAATTTTCCCAGAAGTAAAGTCCTGCTGCTTCTGCCTTGAGCTGGACTGAATTCTAGTGCTCGCGCTGGTTCTTTGGCTGCTGAGTGCCTGTTCATTCTTTACAAGTCAGTTGCTCTCTGCTGCCCTCCCTGCCCCACCCAGGCATAGCTGGAGGGACCCTCCCCTATCAATTCACTGGCTGCTGTCTTCTGGGCTCACAGCATTAAGAGGGTCCTGGCCAGCAGTGATGCTCGGGAAGACTTGAGAGGTTGGGGTAAGAATCTGATTCACTGAAAGCCTGGCTTGGGTTGTTCCCAACAGGTGGCCCGGGTGTTTCCCCTTCTCAGCATGGAGTGTTCCTCTAAGCATCCCTTAAACTGTAGGTCACACCCTTCTTTCCAGGGTTCCGCTGCAGTGCTCAACTCTCAGATTGGGAGAGACCTTTAAAAGCCCCAGCCTGGTCCATGACGTTAAGACACTGTATCGTATGAGTACTAAATTCTGCCCTATGAGTACTGAATTCTGCCCTCCAGGGCTATGAAGAGCAGTCTAACCTGGGAATGTTGAGAGCATCAAAATAAATCGAGGACAGCTGTGGATTACAATGATTGAATAAAGCAGGAATCCACAAATCTGTACTGATAATAAATAGGTAAATCTTAAAATGCTACATCAATGGAGGAGAGAAAAGGGCTCGGCCACGCAGGGGAGTGTGGTCTGCTGATTCGTGTGGAGGGAGGGGCCGTCCCAAGATGAGTGATGGCCAGAGTCACCAATGGGTGCCAAACCTAGAGGAGGACATTGGGTGAGGGGCAGGGTGTTCACGAGGCCTCGAAATCTCTCCGTGGGTTGGCTGCCTTATTAGTTGCAAGAAGTGTGGTTACCACCGAGGGTAACCAGCCCACATCATGAGGGGGACCAGCATTACGTCACTGGTCGGGGATAGATGGAGGTCACGTCCTTTCTGATATGATACCCTGAGAGGGACATAGTGTCACTTATGTCGTGTTGCTGTAAGGGACAGGGAGCCTGAAACTATCATCTGGAAGCTTGACAGTCACAAATTGTGGAACATTCTATTAAAAAAAAAAAAATTGGCCCATATTCTTAAAAAATGTCAGCACTCTGGGACCAGCAGTTAGCGTAATGGCTATGTTGCTGGACTCCCATGTGGTCGACTGCAGTTTGAGTCCCAGACTCAGTGGCTTAAACTCACGCCGGCCATGTGTGTGTGCGTGCCCAAGATCCCGAGAGGAGAAGGGATTGCGGCGTGGCCATCCCTCTGGGAGGGGGGGATGCTTTCTCGCTTTCTGTCAGGGTGGGATGCTTTCTCGAGATCTGTCTCTCTGTCTTCCTGGAGAACACACACGCCCTATAGCAAAAACCTCTCC